CAGTAATGAATGTTTACAATTTGAAATCCAACACTTAAAGACATTATAATGGCTTTCTAATAACAAAGTCCAATACCCAAACACATATGGGATAATTCAATAAAAAGCTAGAATCCAAGTAGCCATATTATTACGTTGGAGGAATTTAATTGGGTTAATCCACTTATGAGGGCGTAAATTGCTAGCTATTATGGTGAAACGATAATAAGAACGCTTAAAAACAAATTTATGTCGAGTGGAAATAAAGATAAAAGTTGCGTGTCTTTAGAGTACGTGCGTGCGGTTAATCCATCTTATCGTTTAGGGGTGTACCTCTTCATTCCTAATTTCCGGCTTAACAAGTGTGTTATTGTCATTTTTTCCCAACAATGACAACTGTCGTAATTTCAATCAAAATCAACTAAAAATGTCTTTAAGATTTAAAAAAATTTGCTGAATAATTTATTCATCTTATCTTTTCCTTCTAAATTTAATCAAAAATCTGATGATGATTAGTCTCTCTGGGATATAAATATCAATACATTTCATTAACTATTAAACACTGTCTGGATCAATATGATAACAAACTTGTACAAGATATTTCTAAGATATTCTTAAATTTAAATGCATTTACACGAAGTAAAATAATTGACTATTTCCTTTCGTGGTGAATACCAAAACTTGAGCGTCCAAAAGAGTAGTATGAATTTAGCCAGTCGAGACAGTCTGACCTACTTTGAATTTATATCATTTGCTCCTTTATATTTTGGGTCCTGTGACTCAGAAGGTAATTCATCATGTCCAACTTTGACAGCGCTGTATGTGGAAAACTTCTTGTATCTCATTAAAATTTTATTTCACCTATTAAGCGTTAAAACTCTTCAAATGTTTTATTTAAACACTCTAGACTAATGTCGGAGATGAAACTGACACTGTCTCTAACCCCAATCTATCTCAAAAAATTATTTTTATATCTCTACGAAAGAGCATCATTATTAAACATATGAAAATTCATTTTAAACTGAAACACCATCACCATTGTTGTTGTTGATGTTATTAGTAATTCATTAGATGGTGAGGCTTGTCAAAATAATGTTTGTTATACGTAGATTTGTAAACTAATCTAATAGATCAAACTTGGCAAATATCATGGGTCCACATGAGCAAACTGCACTCTGATGTCCTGTGGAATCGACAGATAGGCTGAAGACTAACATAACTATTAGATTAAGCGAGTGGGGAAGCTTGATGAAGGTTGAGGGGTGCAGGGTATACTAAACGACAGTCGCAAATCAACTGTCATCATTGCAAGTCCTCATTATACAATTATAAAATAATTGGACCATTATAAAGCTTTAAAAAAAATTTAATAATTATAATAATAAAAAAATATCATTCCATAGACATTTTATATTGATAGAAAATTTTTAAAAACTACAAATATTTATTTAACAAATTATTCTGTAAAAATACTTTTCGTAAAATTTTATAATGAACAAATAATTACTTGAAAATGTTATTAAAGTTGACTATATCAATTGATTTTTGAGGAAGATAATATATTATTTATAGCTATTAAAAAAATCTCAGTTTCGTAATTAATTTATTTACTTTGCAGTGCAATAAAATTTTTTAATTTATTTTTATCAATTTAAATTAAATATTAACTTCAAAAGACTAATACTTAATAAATAATATAATTTGTATTAACAAACACAATTATTTTCATTATATAAATGATTAAATATTTTAAATAAAAAATTATCACTGATAATATATTCATTCTTTCTGCATTTTTAAATTAAAATCATTACAAATTGATAATAAAATCCGATAATAAGTCATTGCAATAAATCGTCTTTTTTATCAACAAAAAATATGGAGGAATATTTAAATTTTATCGATGATTATCACAAAAGAGCTTTTCTACGTTTAAGCATTAACTCAACAAAAATTCAAATGGATCCATTACATCTCGACATGTTTCTCTAATTCCGTAAGAAAGTAAAAGAGAGTTTTGGAGCAAAGAAAAAAGAAAAGTAGTATCCGTCGGCTCACCTAATCGACGTGACAGACGGTCTCCCCTCTGTATCACCAGTTACAATGAGTGACGTTACGTTAAAAATTCAATGACAGGGTGGTCAAACGGGTGCTGGCACATTGCTTTGCTACAGATTTAAGAGTTTTACGATAGTTTTTCACTACTCTTTTTTAATTTAATTTACGTCATATAACTTTTAAAAGTTTTAAAATAATTTTATTAAATAAAAATTACTTAAAATTTTTACATTTATTTTAAGGTAAAAATTAATCGATAATACTGTAAATCTCAATTTTAAAAGTGTTTTATTTTAATGCAATAATTTGCAATGAAAAAATAGTTATTTCACTATTTAAAGTTTAATTAATAATTACTTGAATTTAAAAATAAATAAAAAGATAACGAAAAAATAATTTCATTTAGTGGTTGAAAGATGATGAAAAGAATAATTTTCTATTTTAATTTACAGCAGTTCAATATTTCCGGAAATGCCACGTGTTTATGTCACACGCGGTAACTAGAAGGGGATGACAACTGGTTGGGTTGATAGTGTCCACTTGTGTTGATCATGAGGCTTTGAGCCAGGTGCTTTACACACCCCTTTCTTTTTTCCTCTTCTTATACACGGTATATCAGCCTTATATATTTTTTTTCACCGCCAAGTTCACGTAACCCCTTATCCTCCCTTCTTTTTGAGGGTATAATCTATTTCACTGTATTTTTCCTGCTCTCATCGCAGTCTTGCTGATTATATTCATTAGTTTGATTAGAAGTATTTATTATATTTCTCCTTCCAAGTCCTTTTCATTACTCATTTGTTTCTTTTAAATAAAATTCAAACATATGTTCAAATGGAAAAAAAATAAAAATTTCATTGACTTTGATGCATTTTTTGGAAAAAGGAAAAAATGGCTGTAATAATAATAAAGTTTGAGAGAAAATTTAGCATTCAATCCACATCTACGTCGTGTGCATTTTCTAAAACAATAGTGGATCCTTGGTGAGGAGTCCAGTACTGCAAGACCACACGAAGCACGTCTAAAGGCCACAGGGGTACGGGGGATGAAAATGGAAGAGGCTTGGAGATATAGTTGTGAGGATAGAGACAGCCTGGTGCAAGTAGGTTTAATATTTGATAACGCGGGCTGCTGGTCATCCTGGCGAGGCGATAACACGGGCCCCGCGGGAACCTTCCGGCCAACATCCCTCGAAAAACGAGCTAACCACCATCCCCTTTACTTCCTACATCTTCTTTACTCTCTCCTGCAACTTCATCTCCACAAATGCCAACGTCCTGCATATGACCCTTACATTTTTTCACGTCTTTTCGTTCTGTATATGTATTTTTCTCGTTTCATTTTTATACGAGTATCCATATCTAAGAGCAAGTTGGTGAATTCTATGATGATTGGCCAATTTCACGTGAAATTGAGGAATTTAAATAACATCACTGTGGAGTAGCATCAATAGGAAGGGTTGAAATAAAAAATATGATGTCATTGATCGAACAGATGTGGTATCGTTTGAAAGAAAAAAAAAAATCCGACTTCTTGAAGAAGTATATACGAGAGGGTGAAAGCCACATAAGAAAGAAGGGACCACGACTAATGTTAATAATTCATCCCCGAATTCGGGCACACACAAATCTCGGTCTGTCACGTTTTCTACTTGTTTCTTATTTTTCCACCAGAAAAAGTTTGATTTTTATTTATTCTCCAAGAATTTTCCCTAACTAAAAAACCTCTTATGTGTTCGCTAAACATCTTTTGACATTTAGTTGAGGTAAAAAAGGTATAAAAAGGGAGTTCTATTTGAGTCCAAGAAGAGAGTCCGAGTGCGTCCTTGCAGTCTGAACCGACGACGAGGGAACGGTGACGGAGGGATGGGATGGATAAAAACGGGTGGACAGTGGTTGCGGGTAGCGGTTGAGAAACATATATGTTACACAGAGTAGCTGCGCACACTGATAATAAAGTGAGGGGGTGTAAGGGGGTGACAAGATGGCCGACGTTATAAACATGAGCGCAAGCGTAGCATCTGCAAAGCTCCGCCTTCCTTGTGTTCACCCCTTTGTCGCTTAAGCACTTCACTTTACTCTACTGTTTTCTCTCCCTCACTCTAGTCTATCCAGACTTCATTGCCCCTTTGTCTCAGTTCAGTTCTGCCTCTTGTCCCTTGATGTTTATGCGCCATCTCCTTCTCTCTTGAGTATCAGCTCGTCGTTGTCGTCGTCAACCAACCACGCCGTGGGCACGCGCCTTTCCTCTTCCCGCAATCCGTGAGGACACACAGATTAATACCAACACAGTCATAAAATCGCGAGGGATGTGATACGAAACATCCACTGGTAGCTTTTGAGTGCGCACGACTCACTACCCTCGCAACTGTATGCAGCTCCCGCGGTGCTTCTAGTCGGCGCGCACGAACCCCTAGAGTGTCCCACCCCCCGCAGTGGCGTGGTGGAAGCCGGTTCATCCGCAGAACATGTCGCGCACTCTCGCCAACCAGACGCTCAGTAATATCCATCCGATCTTTGACCTTGTCATCAGTACGCTGGATTATATCAAGTTTTATCAATCACTTTGTTATTGTTATTATTAAATAACTATTTATTCATTATTTATTTCATCATCAATTGAAGACATTCCTATTCTATTTTACTATTTATACCTTTTATTTCACTAACTTTTTAATAAATATTCATTAACAAAACTGTTATTGTTATCAGTGAGCATCACAAAGGATTGTTCTTGTTCTTGGTGCAAGTGTTTGAAATTTTTTTCAAATAATATGAAGTCAATATATTGGATTTATCACAGTTGTTAATTGAATCCTCATCACTTACTGACATCTATTTATTTAATTGATATTATTGATAGATCAAAATTGAAATGAGTCAAAATGAAAGTCGGTTTCCGCATTCGAGTAAATCGTGGCTCGATTTTCGAGCTCACAAGTGATATAGTGCATTTTTAAAAGGAATAACAAAAGTCATATTGCAGAAATATTTTTAAAATAATCTTATTTAATGAGGATAAATTAAATAATAGAATTTAGTTGAAAACAGATGTGAACAAAGTGTTATCAGTTGGAGATTTCCAACAAAAAATAATCTAGACCTTGAGCTGTAGCCTCAAAGGACGTAAAAAGACACGAAGAAAGTGATAGCCGTGTTCTAGTGAAAATGATGTACTCACCTGACAAGATGATGGGAAGTAAAGGTCTCCACGGGACACCTATATCAGCACCTGGTTGCTTTCCTTCCGGAAGATATTCACCACCTTCCTATCGTACAGCACCAGATCCAATGCCACCACCGCCGCCGCCAAGACGATGTATGCCAAATCCACCGGTGAGACATTTTCATCATTCCAACCTAAAATTTAAAAATTTATTTTTCGATTCTATTTATCACAATAAACTTGAAATTATAAATAAATAATTATTTTCATTCATTCAAACATAAAGAGTAGAGTAATAGATTAAACAAAAGTATAACTGAGGGGAAAAAATTATATAGAGTCCAAATTAAACAAATACAATTATTTATACAGTGCTCGGAGCTTGATGTAATAAAAGGAAATTCAATTAGTAAATATTCATAGCATGGAGAAGTGAAAAGAGAAAATAATACAAAGGTCATATATTTCCATACCAGACATTTCAACTTGATATTCTATTGATGAGCTATTTATTTCCCACGTTTGTTTTTATATGATATTTTACCAGATAATTTGATTGAAGATATTCATTGGTCATTGTCATCATCATTATCATGATATGGATGGACATTAAACTCATTTATTAAAAATTAGGTACTAAAATGAAAAGTCGAAACCGCAATTATTTGATACCTGTACACATTTTCCCACTCTATAGTTGTTCCCCCAATCTGTTGTGGTCTATACCACAGACTCTTTCGTTTATTCATGCGACGTAATGGGATAAAAACCGTCAGAATCTCAAGTCTGTAGATGAGATTACAGTAGTATACTGTGTATGCAGTCACTCAATAAGACATGATCCAGGCTTAATCGTCTCTTCTTTCCCTTTATTTTTTTATCTTCTGCCACACTTTGATATGACTGAGTCTGAAACAAAACAAAAAGGAAGGTTATTAAATTGTATTATTAATCATGATGATGATGATGGAATGATGATGAATATTTTCTTCTCAAATTTAAGCAATTTTAAGAAGAACTTTAAACTGTTTATTGGAATCTGATCTTCTCTGAGAAAATGATCATTAAAATATTAGATTGAGTTTAATATTCTGCTAAACTATGAAACTTTAGTATTAAATAAATGAATGCACAGTCAGCGTGTCTGTGGGAATTTGGCAACGATTATGCATGGAAATTAATGCAGCTATCACGTTACATATTTATGAGTCCAATGCTAATTATTCAAACGTCCACCCAATGAAATTATCGTTGCAATTTTCCAGATTATTTGAGTCACAAACTAATTGTGGGTTTCAAGTTGACATCGATTATTTTTTTGTCTTTAAGTACATTTTAAGATATAAGTATGATAAATTATAGTTTATTGTATAAATGATAAATTATTTATTCATTTAAAATATCATTGAAGAGTAAGAGAATATGGGAATTGACATGTGAAATACAGTTGAGGATATTACATTATCTTTATTATATTATATTTGATATAATGCGGGTATGATCCATGAAAAGCACATTAACGTCAAGAGGATACATAACGAAAATAAGTACTTTCCGTCCCACATGCATTTCAAATGGTGGGGTGTCATCAGAATATAATGAAAACAACTTTGCTTTGAAATCGCATAATCGATACCCCACAAACTAATATTCATACCCTTCACACAGGTGTTATTTTTCATTGTGACATTTGTGAGTACATACATATAATTTTGAAGCGTTTTTCAGAATGGGTTATTATAGAGAACTGTAATTTTTTTTAAAAATTTTCTCAGAAAACGTTTTATTAAAAACAATTTTTTTTTATTCAACAATGAAGAATTTATTCAAGATTTTCTTTTTTAAATTGAATAAAAAAATTGACTTTATTATAACTCATCTGGGTTAGGATAATGCAATTTAAAATAACTATGATTACCTTATAGAAATAAATTCCCTAAAATTAATAATAAATTTTAATTAATTTTTTAATTTAAACAATCAAATAATTGTGTAAGCTATGATTTATAAGTAAATTATTATTAATTTATTCATCATCCAGAATATAATCTATGTTCATTCTTTTTTTCAAAAACACCAAAGATGAATAAATTGATTGTTAATCTCAAGGAAAATGATTAAATCTACATTAATCCATTATTAAATCTAATAAAATTACTACAGATTCTAAAATTGATTTAAATAGATCAGTATAGATCACTTGTAATATTTTTAGAAAGCTTGCTACAAATATTGATAGATTCTTGATATTTTTCGGTCTCCAGCAACATCATAAAATCATTAAGAATCTTCAAAAAATATTCTATTAATCTCATTAGACATAACTGGACCTATTAAGATCCATGACAATTTTTGCAATAATTATTTTCCAATATACTATAAATTAAGATATAAAGCAATCTAATGCAACAATTGGACCAAATAAATTGGCTGATGTCACTGTAGATCAAGTCAATTGTATGTGTTTTGAAATATTTATTCCAAAAAAAAAAGTCTATAGTAAATAACATTATTATCTACGATAAATAGTAAAAGAGTATAAATAACTGTAAAAAAACTATTACGAGTGAGTAATGGATGAGTAGATTTGATTGTCTGACCGCCAAGAGTTTCTTCCACTTGGAAGTAGAAAAGTCAAGAATTGACGAAGCAGGAGGTTACAAGGGGAAATAGTACGTATAGCGTGTGAGAGCGATCACTGAGTAAAGCAACTCTAGTAGATACTCTCGGGCATAGAAATGCCCATGGTCGACTCCGCACACGGGGCACTGGGGACACATAACACTCCCCACTTACATCCAATCACTCCTGATTTATATTTACTACTCGCTTTGCCCTTATTTATTGTCCTTTACCGAGACGTGGAGAATAGTAGCGTTAATTTAGTCGAATTGAAAATAATGGTAAGGTACAGAACACGCGAAAAAAGTAAATAAGTTCTTTCATTTTTTTTTTCTTTTATTGAAACTTTTTAGGGTACCATCACAACTCTGTTTATTTAATTTTTTTTTTGTCTGTCAAACACACTTTTAATTAGATATTGACTTTTAGCTATCAAAAATATCTTTATTTAATAATTTAAGAATTAAATAATATTAATAAACATTTGATTTAAATAAATAAAAATTAAATCATTGCTTCCTACATTAGATTAAATATAAAATGTTATAATTTGGTGAATGCAATTGTGTAATTGATGATAATTAAATTGAAAGAAGAAAATGTAAATGAGCAAATTAAATGAACAACAGCTTTGCAGTGTTGCAGTGAATACCTTTTAAAGACACAAGAATTAATGACTCTAATTAATTACTAGATACTGGAAAATAATCATTCTCAATTAATAAAATAACTCAATTAATTTTTGGTTTCAAGATAAAAAATCGTAATTACACTTGATTAAATATTAATATCTTTTATAGTTTCATAACTATAAAGATGATATCAAATTAATTTACTTCCGTTCATTTTTACTCTAATTTTACTATCAATTACATGAGTGTTATTCTGTTTCTCTTCATTTTTTTTTTTCTTGTCATTTATTAATCAAATGCGTCGATTTGTCAGGTAAAAAAGATAAACCTGGTAACTACTTTCGTAATTAAAAGTATTTTAAGAAATTTCAAAGATGACAATTACTAACACAAATAAATCATTTTAAAAAATTAAATAATTTCTTGTAACTTATTTATAAATTAATTCTGATTTAAGTAATTAATAGAATCATCACTAATCTTTCAGTTGCATGAATACTTAAATCTTTCTTATTTATATCAATTAATTACGACTGATAAAAATAAAATTTTGGAGATAAAACTGAAGCAATAAAAAAATCTTAATATGATGGAAATATTAAAAGAGTTACATGTTTGTAATCACGCACTGTGGTGTTGAAATATTTTTTTATGTCATGATTTATTAATTAATGCATTTTTTTTTTTCATACAATTACGATTTTACGGAACGAAGAGATATAAATTGTAATATTGTATAAATAAAATTGGATTTAGATGATATTTACTCAAGAGCACCACTAAACTTCCGGTAATGAGATTTTACGGTTTTATTATTTTGATTTTTATTACTGTTGGCAGTAATATTTTATTAAGCATGAGTTCCTAACTATTTCTCTCATTTTATCCTTCCTTCATACCAGCTCTCGAGGGGTAGGTTTTACCGGAAATAAACCCAAGTGTATAATTACAATAATACTTACAATCTTCCCCTTCTCGACCCTTGTCTCCTACACTAACCTTTTTGATGACTAGTGTGCGTGCTTTTCAACCATGCGTGTGAATATTAGCAAGCACGGAAGGGACTATTACTAACTCACTAAGAATTCATTAGGTACAATAATTGTTTTGTCATTTAATTTCAATATTATCGAAATAATATGACCTTTATAAGTTAAGATTAAACACATTCCATGAATGGAAAATTTAGTATCTGTTTAATAATTCCATTGAATATCGATATTATTAGCATTTAACAGAATTCAGATTAGTAGATGAAAAGTTTCTCTTTTATTTTTAATGACATTAACGATAATCTAATCCATTACTTTTAACATTTTTTTTCTTTCACAACGAGTATATAGATATATATTTTATCTATCTCATGTCACACTTTTAATGATGTCCCAATGAAATAATTCGATAATTTATTTTTAGAATCTTTCAAATTGACATGCTTTTCTCTACTCTCTCTCTTTTTGCTTTCATTCGTTTTATACCTGTCTGCCTTTTAATTTCATTTCCAAGAATGAGGTAAAAATATATATTTAGATTTTCTTCCAAAAAACCTTGGTCCTAAATTAGAATTTGAGAAGAACTGAATTCCATTTTTTTTTTTATCTTTGACATAATTATCGGGTTTTTTTTTTCTTTTTAAAAAACTTGAATATTTTTTTTCTTATATAAGATAATAATATGTAACATGATAATAAATATAGTATTATTTCTGAATATTGAGTATTATCCACTTATGGCCTTCTGTGGTTCTTTTATACTATAATGATTGATAATTGTGCTCTATTTTTATGACAACACATTTTTGTGTCATGCTGCCTCTAGACAAATGAGTTCAAGCTCTGGAACTCAACATATGAGTTCAATTATTTTTATATTAGTAATTTTATTAAGCAATAAACAATAAAATTTATTTATAGTCT